TGTTTTTAGAAAAAAACCTAAAGTGGATAAAGAGAAATACTTTTAACTGATGGTATAGGGAGGGGATTATAATCAATGTATTGAAACAAGTTATATGAATTGTTGAATGTGAAACTGATGATGTGCCCTGTAAACTTTCACTCAATCCATAATAAAAACCTTAAATTAAAAAAAATAAGAATAATAATGGACTTTGAAGTCACATAGATCTAGATATGAATTTTGGCCCTTCCACTTACCAGCCATGTGGCACAGACAAGCTAAACTCTCCATGCCTGTGTCCTCATCTTATAAGGGATGGCTGTTGTATTACATGAGTTAATAAAAATAAAAGATTCAACCCTAGAGTGGTAGTATTACTACTATTATAAACTACTACATTAAAGAAAAAATAAAGCTACTAAAGCTAAGAGTGACCCATGTTAAAAATTCTTATTCTAGATATCTAATATAGAAGCAGACCCCTCAACAAGATTACAGACAGTAGGCACAAAAAGGAGATCACACATAGTAACAAGTGTGAGGATGATGCAGATCAGGCAGTGCTGCACCCTTATCTATGTAAGGCCACTATGAGTCAGAACTGACTTCACGGCACCTAACAATATAAATCCTATAGAAATCAAATTTAGAATTTACCTGTCACTGATGGAAACCAGAAAGTCTTTAGGAGTAGAAGAAAATAATTCATAATTTGCAATATCAAGCTGTTTTACTTGAATTGGTTCACAAAGTTCAATAACAAACCTTTAAAAAGAAAATAAGACAATTATTTAGATAAATCAACAGAATTAGTTTACATTAAACACAACATTGAATAGTTTGCATAAGACAGACTTCTGCAAAGTTACTCACTAAAATGTAATGAAGTCAGATTTGTAGCCTCAATTATTAAGTATCTCCTGAACATATCATTAGTAGAGGGAAAAACAATATCAATTTTGTCCCATTACATTAAAAATATTTAATGACAAAGCTTATTGGATAAGTAATGGATTTACTAGGAATAGCTAGCGATAGTATAAACTAATTTTAAGGACCGTTTGCTCAATATTAATATATGTATACCTTCAAAAGGTAGCATTGCCTTTGGATAAGCACTGGACTGTTAAGTTGTAAGGTTACTGGTTCAAACCCATCAACCACTCCTTGGTAACCCTATATAGGGTTGTTGTGAGTCAGATTTCACTTGATGGCACTTAACAACACTGCTGTTGATTCAGCAATACATCTTTAGAATTTTATTCTAAGGACAAGTGGCTTAGATGTCTATCCTTGTATAAATATTTTGCTACATCAAAAGCAAGGTTAATAAAGGAGCAGAGGGGGGCAAAAATCTAAAAGTTTAGCATACAGGATTGATTAAATGAAGTATGGTCCACTTACACAAGAAACTACCATTCATTAAAAACGGCACTAAAAACCAGAGGTTATATTTACATAAGACATAGAAAATACAAACTAATTTATAGTAACAGAACACACACCTGTATTGCTGGGGCAGGGGAATTGGAGGGAGAAACTGCAGGGGAGTACAGGCATATTTTGAAGGACTCTCTACTTTTGATTGAAAATGATGGTTTCACAGGTGCATAAATGTTAAAGCTTATTCACTGACACACTTGGATATGTTGCAGTTTCTTGTTCAATAAAGCTGTCATTAAAAATGATCTAGAGAGAACAAACAAGATGGCGGAGACGGTGGAAGTGCAGTGAGGAGCTCCATCAGCAACAGCACAGAATACCGGACCCAAGCAGGCTCAGGGGATGGAGCCAGAACTCTGAACCATATACAGAGGAATATTACGACTGTTGGAAGATTTACAGCTAGGGGAATTTGTAGCAGAAGCAAGAAATCCAGTGCTTTGTAATTCAAGATGCTCAGCTGCTCCCAGAGCTGCCATCTTGGGCGAGACCAAGTGGAGGAAGGATCAATGCAGCCACGGATGCCTAACTTAACCGCAGAGATAAAGGTGTACACATCATTTTTTTTAAGCATCTATTCATTGGTCTCTTGCTGTCTGTGCACCTCCATTCAGTGACTAGAGGGGGTGCCTGAGTGAGTGGACACCCCAGCCCCGCCCACCCCCCCCGAGGGTTCTACTATGCATGGGCACAGATCTCCTCCAAATTTAAAGTGATAATTTCTACTTAAAACCAAACAGCAGCGCAAAATAGTCACAGCCAGCCCTGAACTATTTATCAGTAGGAAAAAGGCCTGTACGGGGATTGTGGAGCGGGACAGGCAGACTAAGAAGGAAATAGGCCAAAAATTAAATCCTGAGTTATGTCACAACGACCAACAGTGGCATCTTGAAATTTCTCAGGAAGAAGAATTAAAAGGGAAGCCCATCTCCTGATCTCATCTACCTGAAGGCAATCAGAAAAAATAAAAAATACCAAACTACACACCCATCAAAGCATTAAGGTCACAGAGAACTCCTGAATATGCTCAAAAAACAGAAACAGATGACCATATCAGCACATGGCCAGAAACGAGATAAAGTGACTGAGGCAAATAAGCTGGAATTAGACCTGCACTCCATACTGGAAGATGAGCAGGCTTTGGAAATGCCTGAGAAGGAATTCAGAAAAAGTGATTATAAAATGTATCAAAACACTATACAATGGAGTTGACATAAATAAGGAAGAAGTCAGGAAAAGTGCTACAGGAACAATCATATAAGACAGATACAGCATTGAAAACAATTCAAAACCTACGATTAATAATAGAATATCAGAAATGGACAATACACTGAATGGGTAAAGGAGGATAACTGAAGAGTTAGAAGTCAGAACTAGTGAGCCGGAAGATAAATCTCTCAACACTACTAAGATAGAAGAGCAAACACAAAAAAGGATTTAAAAAATCTGAAGAAGGTCTAAGATTCATGTTGGACAACATGAGGAGGAATAACAAGAATTATCAGCATTCTAGAACAGGAAGAATCACATAAGTCCACAGAGATAGTTGAAGAGCTTATGGAAGAACATTTCCCTACATTTTGAAAAGCAAAAAGATAAGCATTCAAGAAGCTCAACAAACCCCAGGAATGACAGACCCTAAAAGACAATCACCAAGACATATAATAATCAAGCTCTCCAAAATCAAAAGGACAGATTCCTGAAAGCAGCTATGGAAAAGAGAAGTGTAACATACAAAGGCAAGCAAATCAGATTAAGCTCAGATCTCTCAATAGAAACCATGCAAGCAATAAGACAATGGGGAGACATATATAAAACTCTGAAAGAAAAAAAACTGCCACCCAAGAATCCTCTACCAAGTAAAGCTGTCCATCAAATACGATGGTGTAATCAAAACATTACAGGGTAAACAGAAGCTAAGGGATTTTGCCAAAGCCAGCCCTGCGATGAAAAACATCCTAAAGGAAGTTCTGTGGACTGGGAACCAACAAGAACAGACAACAACTAGAGAATAGCCTATGTGGCAGCATCACCCTGAACTCAATCAACAAATGGAAGAGTCAAGATCAGAATAAAATTATAAGAACAGAGAATCTGGGAGGTCAGTCTATGATCAAAACAATTACAAGGTGAAAGAAGGTAAACACAGAGGAACAGAGATCCAGGTGGTGGGAAGGTCAGGTTGATTACACGATAAAATAGACTGTCTTAAACGCAGGGAAGAGTTAATGGAATATAGGATAACCACAACAGTGGGGTTGCAATGGGAGCCTTAGTTCAGCTGTTGGGGAGGGCAATACAAGAAGTGGGAGGAGGTGGAAGAACAAGATAGATAGGGGAGCAGTGAGACAGGTTTGCATGTCCTAAGTGGGACAGCAGTAAATAGTGATGCATGCTCAACCTTGGAACAGGGCTCTGTGATACAAGGATCTAGGCATAGTCTGAAGAGGGGAAATAATACTAGAATGCTTGACTGTCTTATGAATATTGGTTTCTCCTGCCTACTATTGTAAAATAGACAATTGCGTGGTATAGAAAGGAATGTTGGGAAACACGATTACAAAAACTTGTAAGGCTGTCTTCAACATATAACTGATTGGAATACCTAAAATGGGTTCTACAACTTGCCCAGTGAACTAGGCCTCTTGTAAAAGCCTTTGCAGAGTATTGGACCTTAGGTGGAATTCTGAGTTCCATCCACAACCTTATGAGGTGGGGTATTCCCACTAGCAAGGAGAAACAGACCAGCCTGGAACAGCTACAGCAACAGAAGATACATCTTCAAAGAAAGATCATCCTGGAAAAACCCAAAACAAAAATGTCAGCATGACTGGCTACTACAAGAATAAGCAAGCTGTTCGCCAGGAAGCCATCAAGGTAAGTAATCAAGTTCCTTCAGGACAAACTCCCAAGACTGAAACTCAAAGGGGTCACACAAACAGGCATGTAAGCTTGCTAGCGACCACATTGGTCTACTAGAAGAAGAAGAGGTAGAGAGGCAACAATGAAGAAATGGGCTGAGTTCAACCACAGCCCATTGAATCTCGTTGACTGGGAGATGAGAGAGAGAAGAGGAAGGGCTGGTTGCTCCAAAATGTGGTGAGACATGGAGATACTTGAGCCCATGGACAAGGACATAGCCACAGACGGTTAGAGCTGAGAGTGAAGCATCCAGCTGATATGAAGTGAGGGGAGAGGCACAAGAAAACCCAAACTTGTAGACAGTACCTTTTTGACCTAGCCTCGATGGCCTGATAATCAGAACTCGACTACAGGAAGATTACAAACAAAAACATTTTATTTATTTTGTTTTAATAAAGGAAACAAGGGTAAATTGCTACAATTTGATGAACTTGACCTATACTCATGGAGGTAGTAACTCAAAATACCAACAGAGAGGGAAGCAGTCTTTACATCAAGTATCATTGCTATCTCTTCTGTACACAAGTACATACTCTCAGCATTTAAAGCTATAGGCAGGCAGCTCAAAATGGCCACAGCCAGCCATGAACTGTTTACTAATAGGGAAAAGGACAGAACAAGGAGTATGGAGAGGGAGACAGGGTTTAAAAACAAATAGGGTAGATAAAAATAGGCAACTTTGACACTGGCTACCTAAAATGAGGGAGCGATAAAGGCACAAAGTGACTGGCTTACAAGGTTTCAACAGGAAGTTTAGTTTAAGAGTGTGGGATCGGGGACAAAGAATCCCCACTGAATAGTTTTCATCTTGTCTAGATGGGTCTGGTGAAAAGAGATGGGGATAAGATTCATATGATTCAATAGTGAATAATTGTTATCATGACTAATTGC